TTTTGAAAGCCAAAATCAGAGGGGGGTGACCCCCTCTCTCCTTGTCTTGATTGTTGGCCCTTTTGGCCTTCCAAAGGGGCCCTTACTTGCATGTTGTGAAGTCACATTTCAGGCCCTATTTGGCGAGTTTTAAGGTCTGCCTTAGCTATGTACGGAGCCCTTTTGGCCATATTTTGTGTCCCTCATGCATGTGTAGAGCAATCCTCCTCAAGGCCTTTCGAAGGGACCTTTCATTGCATGCTTCATTGACCCATTTCAATCCCTTTTCAGTGATGTGTCTATCATGCATGTGTAGAGCAATCCTCCTCAAGGCCTTTCAAAGGGGCCTTTCATTGCATGCTTCATAGACCAATTTCAGGGCCTTTTTGGTGAGTTTTAGGGCTTTCATAACCTCTTTCCAGAGGCCATTTGGCCATTTTGTGTGTCCGTCATATACGTGTGGAACAACCCCTTGCATGGCCCTCCAAAGGAGCCCATCATTCTTACATGCATTAACTAAGTTTCAATAGGTTTTTGGCATATTTTAGCATGGCATACTTCTGTTTTTGGCTGGTTTGGTGAGCGCTCATATGCTTCATATAGCTGTGGTACAACTCATGGTTCACTAGCTTTCTTTGCATGCTTTGTTGACCCTTGATTGTAGCACATTTTGGCCTTGCCTTAAACTGATTTTGTGCATATTTTGGACTGCCCTAGCTCTATTTTTGGGTCTCATGGTCGAATGGTGTTTGTTTTGCATGCTTGTGGTTCAATACTCTTGCTTAGCTTTGAGTTTCGGGGTCCATTACATACATATACTGAGGTATTTTCTTGTTTTGGGCCCATTATACATCATATTTTAGAGTTTGTTTGAATGCCATATTGTCATGTTTTGTACTCTTTAAATGCGTTTGAGAGTCGGGCTTGTATGCCTCATTTACCGACCATTGCGTGAGCTCCATTTCTTTGCATTCCGAGCCATCATTTTAGGTCATTTTCCTACTGTTTCATACCTGCCTAGGGTCTGTTTGGGGTTGGTTTTGCCATTAGTGCATTGCTTTGGGTACCTCTAGAGTAACGCACTTCACTAGTTTCGGTACCCGGGCTCCCTAGCTTGCATTGTGTGCCATATTTGCATGATTCGGGACCATTGTTTATCATGCTTCAAAGCTGGAGAATGTGTGTTTTTTTATGCCTTACTTCATCCTTCGCCATGCTTAGTAAGAGTCGCATGTTGTGCCTTAGGATCGGTCCCTTGCATCCGTGCTTGTTTGCATGTATTTCGGTTATCTCATTTCCATCATATGGCCACTAATGTGAGTGTGGCTGAGGTCCACTCATGTTGGTGTAAGTCCATCGTGCATTGTGTATGCCATTTCAGTCCATATCATTGCGTATGCTAGGTTTCATGTTAGAGCATTGTGTATGTCATGTTACATCACGTGCATTGTGTATGCAATTTTAGTCCATAGCATTGCGTATGCTAGGTTACATGTTAGTCGCATTGCGTATGCCATCTCATTTGCATTGTGTTTGGGATAGGAGTTAGCCCAAGCACGGGAAACGAGGGACGTTTCGTACTCTAAGTGACGAAACGTGTCTCAATTCCTGGTCGCCGACACTCCGGATTAACCATGATGGAGTCTAGGTCTTGTTGTGTTTATATGTGCATTCATTTCACATCGAGTCGTGCAATTCGGTTCCTCGGCCATCATGCATCGAGATACGTGATTGATGGCACGAGGATCGAGGCGTGCATACATATGTGAAAATACTTTGCCATGCCCCTTTTCTTGCTCTCTATTGCAGCAAATTAGAAATCAGCAACTTTCTAAAGCCTTGCACAGTATTCCGGGATTAATTGCAAATAGAGGCGAATCGGGGCATCGCAATGGATTTCCGCACAAGGCAACTCGAGCATGCATCTTTCATCATTCGGAACAGAGCTGAGGCGGTCCATGAATTTGCATACTAGTTTATTTGCTTTCCTAGTTAATTTGTTAATTAATTAAGGTTTTGTAAATCATTTATTCGGACTGTATTATTTATTCGGACCCTCCGAGCGAGGGCACAATTGTAATAAGTGTACGTTTGTGTGATGTATGTCTTCCAACCCCCACTTCTTTCTCCCTTTTATTTACCAGCTTATGATGGTTAGATTAGGGTATGTTTCAATTAGCATACTTATGCCCGCATGTTTGCATCCATTCATCTGTCTTGCATGCACCGGGTTCGGCGCATCATACTAACCGCATTATACTTTAATTCCGAGTTGAATACATGTTATCCGTTGCATTTCATATGCCATGTTTAGAATAGCCGAGCCTATTGTAGTTACATTTTTGCATGTGTTGCATTAGGCATTTCTGTATAGTTAGGATCATGCGTTTCTGTTTTGGCTCAGAGTACTCGGTGAGTGTTTATGCTTTAGCATCCTTGCATGTGTGTGAGTGACTGCCATGATAGCATGCTTACCATGAGGCTAATTGCTTACGTGATATATCTGCCTGAATGTCTGTGGGTGAAGGTTGGATTATCTGAATTGGAATAATGCATTGACTGTGTGTTTTAAGCCCACTAGATAGTGGCAAAACCATGTTTTCTAAGCCCACCCGAGGGTGGCAAAATTTGCATTCTAAGCCTACTTGCGAGTAGCAAACCGCTTTCAAAAATAAGCATGAAATGTTTTATTCCAATTCAGGCGATCCGGTCTATACTTGCATGCTGTGTGCATCACATAGTAAATCTAGGCTAATAACCGAAATAAGAACGCATAATGTTTTTCAAAACTAGATATCATGGTTAGTAGAGGTCGATCTTTGATCGAGCGAGCGGGGGTACTCACGAAGTGACCTTCCCCAATCGTATCCAAGTCCCCGAGCCGAGACAACTTTGGTGATGACGGACACGTGGCCTTAGGCAACGAGTCAGGGTTTTCTAAATTTCCCAAAAATAAAATATTTAGGTGGCGACTCTGTATCTGGCAAAGCAGTCCATGTTTGGCACTTCTTTCAAAAAATCTTTTTTCAAAAACAATTTGCCGGATTTGGACTCTTTGACGATTCATCGGTCTTGCATTGCACTCTGTGAGATTAGATACAAGACCGTGACATTGAGTCATGAACTGTAGTGAGCCCAAATGAACAGAACGGGATTCCCTTCCCGGGACGTTCGGGGACGTCTACAGCTTCCTTCTCCCATGCACCACTAGTTGCCATCCTCCTACTTCCTTCACACCACCAGTTGCCATCTCACAGTACGATTTCTTTAGTTTGATTATTACTTAATTATAGATTATAACTTAACAGATTATAGATTATGATTTCAATCAAAGGTTGTTAACCTGTTTGGTGTAACTGTCAAATTATAAATTTAAGTTGCTGAGTAGTGTTTGTTAGATAAACTGTGAAGTAGATTTTTCAATTAACTTTTATTTTTTATTATTCACTACTTGTCTACATTTTTCATAAAAAATAATAATAATAATAATTTATAATCCATTTGAGTCTTTTTCTATTTTTTAAAAAATAAAAAATAAAAAAAAAATCTAAGAGTATAATCGTAAATTAACATGTCCACTGCAAAAGCTGAAAATCAGAAGTAAGGGCTGAGCAGCTTTTCAGAATTAATTTTTTTGAGTGAAAATAAGTTGTTAAAATCAAAAGTTGTTTAAAATAAGTTTAACCAAACAGTTCAAAACAACTTTTCCAAAGTGAAAAATTATAAGTTGGCTCAAAAAAATCCAAACAAATACCCCCTTAATTTAGAGCTCCCAATTTTTTTTGATTATTCAATATTCCCAATAGAATGTGTTTTTATTTTCTAATCAATCATCATTTAGGGTTCGTTTGATATTGGCTTTTTTAGCTAGTTTTTTTATGGTGAGACTTTTTTAGCCTGACTTTTTTAGTCTCGTTTAGTTTTGTTTTGGGTTTTTTTTATTTTTGTAAGAGAAAAAACGTAATGATTATGGGTAAAATGTAGTATTTTATCTTATTGACTTATATAGCCTATTTTGTCTTTTTATGATTGTTTAGCTCCAAATGTTAGCCAAATCATGGCTTAATATATTCTTTTATATTTTTCAATCACCTAACACAATACTTCACCTACCCACTTTCTCCACCAATCATAATACTATGGAATACTACGTGTCCATATTCTGAGATTACTGAATAATTACCCGCTGCTGCACAGTCACTGATTTCGGAATTATTTTTATAATTTAAATTGTTCACTTTTTAAGCTATATTGAGTAGAATATAATTGTAAAAACTAAATTGATTAGATATCGATAATCAATTTATCAAATTATATTTGTATTCAGTTTTATTTTTTAAATCACATTTATTGTTACTTTGGTAAATACAAATAAAATTCAATAATAAGAATATGAGATCGATTAATTTAAATTTTTATAAATATATTCTACAATTAAAATATCAAAATAAACATCAAAACAAACCCCATAAACAGCACAACAACTCGGACAACTGCCACCCCAATTCCTTTATTCGGTGGGCACACTACTAAAAAAAGTACTTTTTGCGACCGCTACAAGCCATCACAAATAATAAAAAACAGTCGCAAAAGACTTTTTGCGACGGCCCATGCGACGGCAAATGGGGGTCGCGAATGTGGGGGTGGCAAATACTTTTTGCGACCGCAAAATAACAGTCGCAAACTATTTGCGACCGCCTAACCTACTTATAGCGACTGATATTTTGCCGTCGCAAAAGAGTTTTAAAAAGGCCTACAATGTATTAGCGACCATCTTACCGTCGCAAAAAAAAAAACATAAAAAAAATACCTACAATCAGATATATATATATATATATGCAAATATTATATGCAATAAACGTAAAGACATATTTGTAAAAATCTCAACATTCATGCATTATTTTCCATTATTTAAAAAGGCCTACAATGAGAACTTTCGCTTTTGGAGATTATGGGGCAGCCCAAATCCAAGCATTCAAAACAAATAATAAGTCTCTCAAAAGAGAAAAATATAAACATGTAGAGAATATTGCATTAGACATTGATTTCAACTGTTCCAGTGAGGTCTTCCAAGTAGAAATGGCCATCCTCTAACTGAGATATAACGCCCATGACCCATCTTCCCCCTGTTAGCCCAATGAGACTCTGAATTGGAGATATCTACCCAACATATACACATAAATAAGCATACTTTAATTAACATATGTCTCTCCAATCTTGATATGTTTATGTGCAAAACAGAGAGACGGATTACCTCACAGCTGCCGAACTGAGACCTTTCAGTGTCAAATGCAGCCTTAGAAAAATGCTGATCACGAGAAAGCCTGTGGAGCAACAAGAGAAATCTATCCCTATATAAAGTGGCTTTGGCATAAGCATCACCATGAATGGGAATCTTTCCTGTATGCCTACAATTCAAAAAAGAAAAATGGCATAACTAACACCACCTAATCAAATGTTCAAATTAACATGAACATAATCCACAGCAATGCTGAGAATCTAATCTAATCATAATAATTTAATAAATGAACATAATCCACAGCACAGACAAGGAATGTCAATATAAAGGCTCAACGGTAAATAAATAAAAATAACATGCCAAGGAGGCAATGGGTTGGAGTTGTGACAAGATTTTATCAGTGTTAAAAAAATTCATTTAACCACCCCTCAAAAGATGTAATCTGCCCAGTTGAAAGTCATTCAGCTAATGCAGAGATGTAATTGCAGAAATTTGCACCCCTTAAGTGTAAGAAACAAGAAAAACTCTGGTGCTTGCTTCATCTATTCCTTCAATTGCAAATGCAACAAGTTGAGATATTGCCACTTTAAACCGATAAAACAAAAATCCAACTGTAGACGCGCCCGTGGGCCTCATGCTACAGTTCGGACTCGATTTGTGTCACGGTTCTTAATCTGAACCAAAGAGTCCAAATCTGGCAAATCGTTTTGAGAAACAGATTTTTGAAAAAGTAGTGCCAAACATGGACTGCTTTGCCAGATACAGAGTCGCCACCTAAATATTTTTAAAATGGGGAAATTTAAGAAACCCTGACTCGGTGCCGAAGGCCACATGTCCGTCATCACCGGAGTTGTCTCGGCTCGAGAGCTTGGGTACGATCGGGGAAGGTCAGCTATGAGCACCCCCTCTCGCCCGGTCCGAAGACCAGCCTCTACTAACCGTGATATCCAGTTTTGAAAAACGTTTATGTGTTCTTAAACCAATTGTTAGCCTGGAATTACTATGTTATGCGCGCAGCAAACAAATATAGACCAAATCGCCCAAATTGGAAATAAAACATTTTATGCTCGTTTTGAAAGTGGTTTGCTACTCGTAAGTAGGCATATCAGAAACAGGGTGAGAAAAGAGAGATTGCTTACTTGACGTGAATAACATTCTGCATCACTCTTCATGGCAGACATTTCGACTCTCATTTTTTGCACTTCAGCCTACAAATAAGTATATAACATAAAAAGTCCTTAAATAGTCTTGAAACATCAATTTGCAACGTTTCAAATTTATTTATTGTATAATAATAAAAATTAGATATTGGAATCAATTCCCAATTGACATCTCCAAATAAACAGCATTTAGTCTTCAATCATGTAACTTGATTAAAGATAACAAGTGACACATGTACAGGAACATTACAAGAAACT